ACTGCTTTCCCAGGCCATAGCAGAGAGCTCAATCAGAAGTGGAGCATACAGGACTAAATCAGCGCCCATATTGGATGCCAGTACTACAAGCGGTGGTTTTACCCACTACACCACAGCACTGCCCCCTCCATTGATTATTCATTCTCCATGGATAGCTTTTTTTAAAAAATATACAGCCAATTAACAAGATCACTAGGAAAGGAAGAATGATAAGGACAGACACAGAGAGAAAGAAATCTATAGCAACCAGGTCTGGGGCAGGTGGAAGCCAGGACCCAGAAATTCCATTCTGGTCACCTATATAGGTGGCAGTGGTCCAGGCATTTGGGACATTTTCCATTGCTTCCCCAGGTGCATTAGGAGGAAGCTGAATCAAAAATTGAGCAGCTGAGACTTTAACTGGCACTTTGATACATAATGCTGGCATTGCAGGTGGCAGTTTAACCCACTTGACCACAATGCTACTTCTCATGGACAGCTTTAGAGAGATACTTATATTACTGTCTTTTTGAATAGTCCAGAGGAATGAGAAGAGGAATAGTTTCTTTTCTAGTCCCATCCTAGATCCTGTCCCCTAACTGGTCAACTTCCACATCATAGTAAGTCAATTCCCTACATCACTGTGGTGTCACCTGCCCCTACAACAAATGCTAAGGAAACCAGATTCTTTTTTTTTTTTTTTTTTTTGACAGGCAGAGTGGATAGAGAGAGAGAGACAGAGAGAAAGGTCTTCCTTTTGCCGTTGGTTCACCCTCCAATGGCCGCCGCGGCCGGCGCGCTGCGGCCGGCGCACCGCGCTGATCCGATGGCAGGAGCCAGGAGCCAGGTGCTTTTCCTGGTCTCCCATGGGGTGCAGGGCCCAAGCACCTGGGCCATCCTCCACTGCACTCCCTGGCCACAGCAGAGGGCTGGCCTGGAAGAGGGGCAACCGGGACAGAATCCGGCGCCCCGACCGGGACTAGAACCCGGTGTGCCGGCGCCGCTAGGCGGAGGATTAGCCTAGTGAGCCGCGGCGCCGGCCTAAGGAAACCAGATTCTATGCCATTCACCTGGATGCTTTGCCCACAGCTGGAGGGAGTAGGTAAGAGAAGCCAATTCCAGTTCAGGCAGTGGATCTTACAGGCTTTATAGAGGTGGTTACTGAAATAATAAAGTGTTACAAGAGGTGACTGAGTTCATGCTAAGTCTTAGAATATTCTGTATCTAATCAGAATTAATTCTTTTATTATTTGGGAGTGATTTTCATGAGAGATAAATATAAAGTGTGAGTATGCAAATTAGGCAGGAAAGGCCTTTAGGACACTTAACAGGTAAAGTATCTATGAAAGGAAAGGAAGAAGAAAACAGGATTGAGCTAGAAGACCTGTTAGAGTACTTGGAATTACTCTACACATTGGGCAGAAGTGGCCAGACCATCATTCCCCTACCGTGCTCAGTGACGGGCTAAGAGTCAAATGTGACCTTGGCACAAGTGCCACAACAGATATGGTGCTACAGTGCATGCTGGTAGCTCCCTGTACACTTCATTGGAACCACTTCTTTATTGAATGGAGATTCAAATGTTACATCATCACAACTCCAATACTCTCAGACATATCCTCTCAAAAGCAAGCAGCGAGGCCTAATCATCCCACTACTTTTGTGTGTGCATGTGTGTTTGTGTGTGTTTATCCAGAGGAGGTATATATATATATGTGTGTGTGTGTGTGTATATATATACATATATATATTCAAAGGAAATGAAATTAGTATGTTAAATAGACATATACACTCTTGTGTTTATTTAAGCACTATTCAAATAACCAAGATGTGGATTCAACTTTGTTGTCCAGCAATGGATGAATAGATAGAGAAAATGTGGTTTAAATAAACAAGGGGAAACTATGCTTCCATAAAAAAAAAAGGATCTTGTCATTTGCAGCAACAGAAATTAATCTGGAGGGCATTATCTAAAGTGAAGTTCAGTCAGACACAGAAATACAACCACTACATGATCTCCCTCATATGCAGTCTAAAATAATGGCTCTCAAAGAGGCAGAGGCACAGTTTTAGCTACCAGAAACTGGGGTGTTTCGTGGACAAAAGCTATCTGGAGAGCTATTGGCCAAAGGATACCCAATCATAGTTAGATAGAAGGATAATTTTTAGAGATTTATTATACAACATGGTGATGATAGCTAAAGATGGCATATTATAGTCTTTAAAAAGGCAAAGAGTATATGTTGAATATTGTCACCACACAAATAACTCTGTGAGGTAACACACTTGATAATAGGCTGGATTTATTAATTCCATGATATATATATATATATACTTCAAAACATTATGTTAGATACCATAAATAGATACAGTTTTATCTGTCAATTTAAACAAAAGAGCAGTAGGGCTAAATAATTGAAAGTTCAGTGAGATTGAACTTATAATGATAAAATCCAATGCAACATTTACTTTTCTTGTTTTAATTTTCTGATTTTAGTACTGCTGAAAAATCCCATCTAGCTAATTTTACATGACAACCAAAAAAATTCTACTTCATAGCACAGTAAATCTGGCAGAAACAAAATGATCAATAATATTTTTCTTTGAAAATAATATTCAGAGATATGCACAGATTTCTATAAATGAGAAACCAAAAAGCTTTTCATTCTATTGGGAGCAGTTCAACAAAGCAGAGCAGGTGACAGATAGAAGGGTGTGCCAAGATGAGCAATAATGATGATTACAGAAAAATTGATTAATGGAATAAGCTAGAAAAACATCAGATTTATATAGCTGGTGGTTACATTTTCTGAAAAGGGCCAAAGAAGTTTGTAAAGGAGGTGAAACATTTAGGAAGTTAACCATATAAAAATGAGGCTGTAAATTCATTCAATGAAGTAAATTATTATAACTAAATAAATAACGTTTTGTTGAATGGCAAAAAAACTTTGTGTCCTAAAAGAAGCTTATGAAATTACATTTAAAAGAAAACTAGAAAGAAACCCAATTTACAGCAAACAATTTTGTACCACCCCTTAGGGAGATTAACTGATTTGATTTTTTTTTTCTCGTATGTCTCCTTCTGTGTCTAAACCACAACTTTCCAATGATTTTATTAGTGCTCTTGGCAGCTCTGAGAACAAATGTATGTCTACTAATTTCCCCATGGAAGCATCAAATATCCTTGGAGAGAAAACTAAACAGGAATTTTTCAAGTAACTAACACATTCTCTCTTAAAATGACAGCTGGTCTACTGGAGAGAAGTACAGGAAGTCTTCAATCAAAGAATAGGCTGTGCTCTAAAAGTTTCAGAGTCAAAAGTCAAAATTCAATTCCCCATGGAAAGATTTAACATTTAGTAGTGATTCATTTTCATTCAAGAGATGCTGCCTGTATCAAATCTGTTTAACCACAAATGTACCAGAAGTGTTGAATTATTAGGGTTAGCTTAACCAAATCTAGCTTCTTATTAAATGCATCATTCTCAAAAATTTGTTTCCTAAGGGAAATGCTTCATAAGCAAGCAGAACATCGGAAAGACAAAGCAATCTTGATGCAACAATGACTATGGACACTTTCTCAATTCATGCAGCAAGAGTAAAATAAACAGTGAAGCAAAAAAAAAGAGGCACCCTGTACTATGATTATCACTACTCAGAGATGGCTTAATGAACAAACTGTGTGGTTACAAAGGGCCCTGTGCTTAGAATCATCCTGACTTTAGCTTAATGCTCTGTGATTGACATTTTGAAACTCTTGATAGTTTTGATAACTAGGGTCCCATGTTTTCATTTTGCACCAGATTCTGAAAATCATGTAGTTAGACTTACTAATATAATCTTAAAGTGGTCTCCAACATCTTACCACTTTTTATCCTCACAAATTCCTATGTCATAGATAAGACAGATTTAATGTCTCTCTTTTATAGCACTGTACACTGAAGCTCAAAGAAGAAAAATTTTCTTTCCAAAGTTTATATATGGTGAAGCTGAAAACTAAATGCAGGGTTTTGACAACAAGGCAAAGGCTTTTTCCATTAGCCTACCCTGACTCCAAATATCCATAACAGTGAATCAGCCAAGTAATAGAATAATATAAAATAAAGGGTTGGATGATTCCACTTTACTGATAGTGTTTTATTTCAAATTATTTCTTCCCAAGTGACAAAGTCTTGCTCTAAGTCTTTTTTTCATTTCTAGTTCTTAACAGACTTTTAAGTTTTGCTTTTCGGTCATTATTTAAAGCTCACTGATCTTCTTGTAGAAATGTCCTTTCCTTAATTGGCAGGGTTATATCTGGGTTTCCTGTGATTGTTTGACCTCTGTCAGTACCAGCTGAGTGTGTGGGCTTTCTGGAAGATTTTCTCTCTCTCTCTCTCTCTCTCTGCTTTAAACTATAAGCAGGGAAGTTACTAATTAGAAATCCTTTGAGGCATAGCTGAAAGATTTTGAAGAGCACGTGATTGATAAAGTTTATCTTTCTCTGTGAGAAAAGGCCTATAAGCATCAGGTTAGGGAAAGTAGTGATGAGGAGATACAGGGTTTGGGGGATTACAGAAGCTGTGGAAACTTGCAATATGGTAGGAATGACCGGAATCCCTCTTTTTGTGTGACACATCTGAAGATAGGAAGTTTATACAGTTCTACTTGTAAGCAAAAAAGAAGTTTTATAAGCTAGGAGGACAAAAAGTTGTTTTTCTAAGATATGGTATACCTAAAAGATCATATTTAACTCATTAAGGTCTCTTGATTTTAAAGGAAAGTTATAGTCATTCAAACTAACAAAACTGAATTTCAAGGTTGGAAGACAAGTGAAATGCTTAATAAAATGTATCATATCAGAGACTCAGAAAAACCATTGTAAAATATATTACAAGGACAATCTTCAGTTTTAGCAAATTGCTAAGAGTGAAAATAATATAGTAGCTTAATAACATATTCTGGATATTAGCACAATATAGTATGGAGAAAAGAGCTAGAGTTTTTGAAATGTATAGGAATAGGAAAGATTCTCAGCTTACCTACTGCATTGTTTCGAGATATTGAACAATTTATTTAATTTCATTAAATTTCTTTGTCTTTCTAAGAAAAGGAGAGATAATAACAATAATCACATGAATTTGTTGACAATTTATACAATTTATCTCACAATGCTTGACATAGGATATATACCCAACAGGGGTAGTGCTCACTATTATCATTTATCCTCCCTCTCTCCAATCAAGTTGACTACAACACTTGGCATACACAAAAGACATTCTTGCCTATTCTGAGTTGATTTTTCCCCAATAGCACAAAACCTATATTTGCCCATGGCCAAAGTGACAGGCAGCTCCTCCATTTCCAGGTAATAGAATCTTAAATTTAAAATGAAAGGGAATGTAATCCTCCTCTTATGTTTGCTTAAACTCTGGCAGTTCCACAGAAAAAGTATATCTAATTTCTTTTTTACCACATCCTCCTGTTCATCCATCACTGCCTCCAATTCAATATTGGTGTGGCCAGATTCCAAGACCAACTCCATCCTCAGAGAATCTTTTATTTGAGGCACCACTGTGCATTACATGAAGGGAAGCATTTCAGTTCCTTGATTACACATTGCCTTGTATACAGTCATTTCATATAAGCTTCAATTAAACATTTACAATTCAGTTAAGAGCAGTACAAGAGGCATGGTGTTAAAACATAATTATGATTTTAGCTTGCAGGGCTCTTCTATGTACAACATGTTTCCAATCATGTAATTTTGATATATATGTGAAAACTACCTACAGAAGAAGTAAATACTCAGAATTTTGTTGAGACACTCAGATTTTTCTATTGGAAATTATAAATGATGTTTAAAATATCTTAATATAATCTAAGGATTTTATGAAGTTTTCAACTTTTGAATTGTGATCATTTTATTTCTACATTTAAATGGGAATAATCAACATCTTATTATTCTAAAATGATCATCACCTACTGACTATAAATTAATGACATCTACATACCAATAGCTGGAGTCACTTTGTGGTAAACTGACTCCATCTCTCAATAATTACAGTCATCTGAAAATGTGTCCTTATAATAAAAGTACATTGCAATAATTTAATCTGATTCACTGAGTGTCCACAGAGCAAAGTACCACATTTGAGATTTGTATTCCTGTGTCCACATCTAACTCTCAGTGTTCTGAGCATGCAGAGCAATCGTGACTATGGAGCACACTCTGAAATATATTCAGTATGGGGAAGAAAAATGAAGACAAAAGGATTGATAGTCAAGAAACATGATTTATATTTCAGACTCATATATACCAGCTTTTGATGTTAAATGGGTCATCTCATCACTCTGAGCCATGTCTTCTTTATTAGTATCTTAATAAATGAGTATCTTCAATGAGTAACATAAATGACAAGATCTACCATAGCTATAGACTCTTGTAACCCATTTTCTTTTCATCTATACCATGGTGTAAAGAATAAGATAGTCTTGGGTTGGAAATATGGTGTAGCAGGTAAAGCTACCACCTGCAACAATGGCATCCCCTGTGGGCTTCAATTAAAGATCCAGCTGCTCCACTTCCAATCCAGCTCCCTGCTAATATGCCTGGGAAAGCAGCAAGGATAGCCCAATTGCTTGGGCCCTGCACCCATGTGGGGGAATGGGAAGAAGCTCCTGACTTCTGGCTTAGGTCTGACTCAGCCCCAGCCATAGTGGCCAATTAGGGAGTAAACCACTAGATGGAAGACCTCTCTCTCTCTCTCTCTCTCTCTCTCTCTTTCTCTCTCTCTCTTATCTCTGTAACTCTGTCTAGTAAGTTAAAAAAATCTTAAAAATAGAATAAAATAGTCCACCCACTGTGTTGTCCTTTCTGTTTTTTTTTTCAGGCAGAGTTAGACAGTGAGAAAGAGAGAGAAAGGTCTTCCTTCCATTGGTTCACCTCCCAAATGGCCACTACGGCTGGCGTGCCATGCTTATCCAAAGCCAGGAGCCAGGTACTTCCTCCTGGTCTCCCATGTGGGTGCAGGGCCCAAGCACTTGGGCCATCCTCCACTGCCCTCCCAGGCCACAGCAGAGAGCTGGACTGAAAGAGGAGCAACTGGGACAGAAACTGGCACCCTGACCGGGACAAGAACTTGAGGCGCCGGCGCCGCAGGCGTAAGATTAGCCTAGTAAGCCATGGTGCCGGCCTGTCCTTTCTGTTAGCCACATAATAAAGAAAAACAATCTTGCCTGCACACATGAAAGAAAATCATTAAAGGGATAAATATGGGGGCCGGCACTGTGGCACAGCGTGTTAAGCCATGGCCTGAAGTGTCAGAATCCCATATGGGCTCTGATTCAAGTCGTGGATGCTCCACTTCCAATCCAGCTCCCTGCTAATGTACCATGAAAAGCAGGGGAAGATAGCCCAAGTTTCTGGGCTCCTGCGCCCATGTGGGAGACCTGGAAGAAGCTCGTGTCTCCTGATGTCAGATCAACTCAGCTCTGCCCACTGTAGCCATTTCGGAGTGAACCAGCAGCTATAAGATCTCTCCCTCTCTCTCTGTCTCTCCTTTCTCTGTAACTCAATCTGGGTGTGACACCTCTTTTCTGCTGGGAATCTGACTGACACAGACACTGCAAAGAGAACATTGGTGTACAGCAATGTGGAACCAGAAAAACCAACAACCATGGGTAGTTAAGTAAAGAAACATTTGATCTTGCTCCTGGGGAAGGGACGATCAAATAAAAAGACATGAACTACAAAAAGAGCTGAAAAATCAATACTTTAAATAAATAGTGTTGGAAGAATGAGCAGCATAAAGCAATTATGAATAATAGGAAAATTGAAGGGAGTTTCACATAGTAATTAGGGAATCAAACAGACTATGGTAACTTTTTAATTTCTATTTCAGATGCAATTGTTGAGATTGCTTGAGTATTCCTTGATTTACCTTAAGTCATAAGGAATCCAAGGACAGAAGAGGTTCTAGATTTTTGCTTGGCTATCTTGAGATACACTACCTCTAATGATGTAGTCACTTACATTTAATTCCCCTTTAAATAAATATTGATTGACCACAAATAAGGGAAGTATATTTTCTGTGAAAGGCTGAAAAGGGTAAAAAAAAAAGGTTGGGGGGGTTTCTGAAGACAGAAGAATGAAAACTCAGCCTTTGTGCTTAAAAGCTCCCCAACAGCAATTAAAGATTTATTTATGGGGCCAGGGTTATGGTGTGACAGGTTAAAACACAACCTTTGCACCCAGCATGGATGCTGATTCCAGTCCCAGCTGCTCCACTTCCAATCCAGCTCCCTGCCAATGCACCTGGGAAAACAACAGAAGATGGTTCAAGAACTTGGGCCGCTACCACTCACATAGGAGACCTAGATGGGGTTCCAGGCTTCCTGGCCTTAGCTTGGGCCAGCCCCAGCCATTGCAGCCATTTGAGAGTGACCTGGTAGACAGAAGATCTCTTCCTCTTTTGGCCTCTCCCTCTTTTTAGCTCTGCCTTACAAATAAATAAATATATCTTTTTAAAAATAAATAAAAATGAAATAAAATAAAAAATAAAAATAAAATAAAAAATAAAAATAATGTATGCTTGGAGAATATAAAGCTAGTTATTATTTTGGACAGGATGTGTATATCAGGAACTAAGTGTTGAATTCTAATATCATAGAACTCACATTCTACTTGGTGTTAATTATCATAAATGAAGATGGTATCTTTGATTAAGTACATAAATAGATGTAGCATATGCAATATGATAAAATATATGTAATAACATTGAAAGCAAGACAATATACACTCTTAATGTATATTAATTAATATATTAACTAGTTTAACTTTTTCTGTTAGTAGCTTTCAAAACTCTTCAACAAGCAGGAAAATTTGAATTCTGTGTAATGTATTCATCTTAGAGATGGAACAAAGATGGTGACTGAGTAAGAGGCTCTAGCAACCCCCTCCCTTCAGGGACATCTGTAAACATACTTAATAACTTCACAAGATTACAGAATCCAGGGAGATACAAAAGTGACTTGCTTTGTTATAATCATAAGAAAAATTGTAATGAATAAAGCAAGAAAGAGAGAGTTGCCAGCTTCACCCTCTACCAGCTCCAAGGAACTCATTGTTGAGAGATGCCTCGCTCTTGTGAGAGGGAGACTGAAACAAGTCCCAGTGACAGACCCACAACACAGAAAATTAGACAGACCCACCCACCACCCTGGCCCACAAGCCCATATCTGTCAAGTGGTTTTGGGGGTTTCTTCCACTCTCCTTCAACCACCATGAGAAAGTGAATGCCAGTCACACAGACAGGCCAGCAGAGGGAGCTTAGGCCATTTCTCAAAGCTCAGAACCAGGGGTAGTGTGACAAGACCTTGCACCTGAGAAAGCCCAAAGACCTGTAGCCCACCCAATGCTCAGAAATGAGTCTCTAGACATGCCTAATAACAGGTGGAGATTTGTGATCTAATGGTTGGACTCATTTTGGTGTGTGAAACTGCCAGCCTTGAGTGGACTTGGCAATCATTCCTGAGACTTTTTGGGTTTTGTGACAGTAGGAACCAGGTGTAACCATCCTGGGGCCAATCTGAGTAGCCATAAGGCTACCTCTATCACTCTTCTCTGACTTTGGGAAGACATTAAGGGACTACAGAACTGTGTGTCTTATGACTCAGTGCTGGGTATTGGTAAAGACAAATGCTGTGCAGAACCTAATGGTTTCTGCTCTGAGGCAAGTGACTGTGGAAGAGTCTCTGGACTTGGCCCAGATATTAAGCAGAGACCTGAACCCTAGTGAGACAGTCTTTTCACATGTATCACTACTAGCCTCTTACAGGCCTAGCATGCAACCTTAAGATTGCAAGGGCAGGGGCTGGCGTTGTGACTCACTTGGCTAATCCCCTGCCTGCTGCGCCGGCATCCCATGTGGGCGCCGGGTTATGCTTCCGGTTGCTTCTCTTCCAGTCCAGCTCTCTACTATAGCCCGGGAGGGCAGCGGAGGATGGCCCAAGTGCTTGGGCCCCTGCATCCATTTGGGAGACCAGGAGGAAGCACCTGGCTCCTGGCTTCAGATCAGCGTAGCTCTGGCTGTAGCAGCCATTT